GCCACGGTTCTCTCCCCGTAGTTGGAAAGCTCTTTGGTGTCTGTGCACATTGCAGTGGCTTAATTCCTGGGTGGCTTCTTCAGTGCCTGACATAAAGGAGTTTGGGATCAGCTAAGAGGGGTTGAAAGGGTCGGGGGCAGGGGGCCAGCAGAGCAGCGGGGGCCAGCTCGGGAAAGGAAAAGGCCTTGGGGTCTGCAAGGGGGAGAGAGAAGGATGGGAGGAAGGAAACGAGGCTTGGGAAGCACAGCCGTGGGCTCTGATACCCTCCAGCACGCTGCTCTGTCTCCCCAGGGGCCACATGGGACTACGGGCCATGGCTCCAGTCTGCACAAACCTCCAGAGAGAGTTAGGGTCGGGCCAGGGCTGAGTGCGAGCGGGAGCCGTTCCCTCCTGCCCTCCGCCCCTTCCCTGTCATCTCCTGAAGGGGGATTTTGGAAACAAGATGCTCAAAATCATTGAGGGGGTGGGAGAGGGGCTGCAAACCTAGGGAGGCCTCTGCTGGATCCGACCGTCTTCCCTGCGAAAGAGGGGCAGGAGGGGAGGGTGCTCCCTGACACTCTACATCCCCCACACCTTATACCCGCACGCCCATCTGTCCCCTTGGGCTCATTCTGCAAGGGTTAAGGGTCCACCAATGCCTGTGACCTGTAAATTCTTCAGACTCTTGGGACAATGCCAGAACGCAGACGCATGCGCACACACACACCCCTGCTCTAAAACATCGCTACGACCCACCGATTCACTTCACACAAAATAGGCCATGCACGAACATATGCCAGATAACATGTACACATGCACCCGCAAAGGTGGGAACTGGCTGCAGGGTGCCCTTTGCTCTGCCCTTTCCCAGGGTGCCCTGTTTCCACTTGAGCTCCTCAACCGCCTTTCTCTTGGCTTTCTCCAGTCTTACCAAAAAGGCGGGGGGCGCCTGAAGCTGCGGCAGTGTCGCCGTGGGGTGGGCACCTAGGCGGGCTCAGGGATGACCGTGGAAGAAATGAGGGCAAAGGCGTGGAGCTGCAAGTGCCACCTGGGATGAGAAAGGGGACTAAGATCACATTTGGGGGAGGAGAGCTAGACGGTTGTGCAACAACTCGGGTCTCCCGGACCCTGGCCGAGGAAGTGCCTGTGTGTACACAGGGAGCCACGTGCAACCTGTAGTCTTTCAGCGTCGCAGCATGTTGGAGGTCAGAGGGGCCATGGGGGGTTTCGAGCACGAACTGCCATCTAGGTGGCCACAGACCCAGGGGCAACAGTCAGACATGGGAGGAGTCACCTGCCTCCCAGAGTCCCTGGGCAGTGCGGCGACGGGTGTGTATGTGCTTGTGTGTGGCGCACACTCACTGTCGATCTGACACTGTACCTGAGCGGGCACCCAGTGTATGAACCCAGTGACCGGAACAAACTCCAAGCTGAGCGCGCGGTGGCGGTGACCTCGCTGCCCCGAGCCAGCTCCGTCATCACAGCCCTGTGGCCTGCTGGGCCTGCCCTGCTCGTGACAGCAGAGCTAAGGGACACCCTCCAAGAGGGCGTAGGGTGCAGGGCTGGGGTGACACAGAAAGCTAGCAGGGAAATGAGGAGGCAGAGAGGAGAGAGAGGAGAGAAGGAAGGAAGCCCAGGGTTGCACGGAGAGACCACTCAGAGCCCTGGACACACACACCCCATGTCACACACCACAACCACACACACCATCCATTACACACCACAACCCCCCCAAGCACCCCACACACCCCACACAGCATCCATCACACACCGCACCCCCCAAAACACACCCCCTGCACCATACAACCCCACACATACACCACATCACACACCTCAACCACATAGTAAACATCACACACCACACACCCCATAAACACACATCTCACACGCGCTCCCAAATAATACACACCAACCACACACATATACACACGACTCACACACATGCACACCAACTCCACACGGGCTGGCACAAAGCCCTGGATCAAGGGAGCAAACACAGCTGCAGAGAGACAGAGGTGGACAAAACCAGAAAAAATATGTTTATACTTTTTGCCCTAAATCAGCGGTTCTCAGTGGAGAGTGATTTTGTCCCCAGAGGACATCAGGCATAGTCTATGATTGTCACACCTGGGCCAGGGGCTGCTCCTGTGACCCAGTGAAGGGCAGCCAAACACCCTGCCATGCCCGGGCAGCCCCCACGCTCCAGCCCTTTGTTTCAAGGTATCAGTGGTGCCCAGGTTGTGAGAAACAGCACCCCAGACGCAGGACTCAGCACCACACAGGTCCCCGGCCCGCCAGCGGCCCGGTCCCACGCATACCGACACACGCATGCACACGGCACCTCCCTGATCCCCCTCAGCCCCTGCGGGTGTGGGCCTCAGAGAAGGCCAGTCGCACTCTGGTTGACCCACCCCCCACCCCGCCCCTCCATTGATTCCTGAGGACCTAACTTTTGCTTCGAGTTCAAGCTCAGCCCCAGGCAGTAAGAACCTGTTCAAGAGCCTGTCAACATGAACCCTCCAGCCCTTCCTCCCCCTTGGGCCCCCAGCTCTTCATTCCCCCAAGGCCGAAGATGGACCGCCAGGAGGCCAGGGGTATACTGGACAACAGCCACCCCCAGTCATGGGCTCATCCTCATAGATAGGGCCACCGAGAGGGACAACGGCTTGCCCAGAGTCATCAGAGTCTTCTTAAATGTGGAGTCTGGGCACGGGAACTTGGAGAGGGTGTGCTGGCAAAACTCACCCTCCCCTGAGCCCCAGTCTCCTTCCCCGCTCATCCCAGGCACCTACAGCCCCCTGCATTTGGACACCCGAGTCTGGAGCTGTGGGTTGCAGAGCCACCGGAGGCCTCCCCTGTTGGGAGGCGCTGCCCCGGCCGTGGAGTGGGCCGGGAAGCCCTGCCACGCTCCTCAAGAGAGGAGGAGCTCCAGGACAGCCCCCACCGTCCCCTCGGGGCCAGCAATGTGGCTTTAAGGTGTGAGAGGACCCACGTAGGTAGTGTCGCCCACACTGTGGCCTGGCGTCTCCCTCTGTCCAAGCACATGATGTTGGGTCCAAGAGGGGAGAGGACGCTGTGGGCAGAAGCTGGTACCTTTGTCCCCAGCCCTCCGTGCCCATTTTCAGTCTGCTCTCAGTTTCCCGCCTGACCTGGTGACCCGCCCAAAGGAGCACCAGGTGGAGGAAGGAAAGCCTAAAACAACTGCTTCCTCCTGTCGCCTTCCTCCTCCACACGCACACACCTCACGGCCGTGTCCTCTCCCCCACCCGGCACCGTGCTGGGGTCTTTGGCCGGAGACAAAGAAGGTGGGTGGGTCGGCAGGCAGACAAACACTGGCTTAATGGGCACAAAGGTCTTAGTTCAAGGTTTGGGCTCTAGCGCCTTCTCCCCTCCCCACCCCAGCCTGAACCCACTGACCCCTGGGTGGGTGGGGAAGGCAGCTAATTGAACTGCACTGTTTGATCGGGGCACTCAGGCCTGGCCTCGGGCCAACAGGAGGAACAGACTTGCTTCTCTCCAGAGTTGAGACTGACCCTCCTCCACCCGCCCGCCCATGGAGACACCCCACCCCGCACCTAAGTGCTCTCTGTCCGGGCTGCATCCTCCAGCCCTCTGGATCAGGGACGCGTAGGACCAAAGCAGGCTCTGAAGCTAGCGACCCCCACATGCCTGGGGCTCTGACACCCAGGCCCAGGCCATAGGAAGGCCCTTGCCTTCTGCGTGGGCCTTCGCAGAAGCCAAGGCCTGTTTCTTCCCAGTGTAGGGGTCGAACTAACTGATCATGGCTCCCAGCTCATGCCAGTCAGAGTTCTAAATTGTGGGACTGGGATGGGCTCTGTCATCCTTCACCACTGGGACTGCAGGTCCCTTCCCCTCGCTGGAACTCTGCCTGCCGGCTGGGATGAGCGGGTGTGGTGGGGCAGGGACAGCGACATCGGTGTGGGCATCGGGGGACAGAGGCTGAGTCTGCCTCTGCCACTGAATGGCTGTACGGCCCTGGGTCATTTACTGTGCCGCTCCGAGCTTTGTTTTTCCTCCCAGTAGTACAGTGCAGGTAACAATACCTGCCTCCCAGGTGTGGTGTAAGCCTACCTGGGACCACTTTAGTGAAGCAGCGAGCAGGTGAATAAACTGGAGGTGGCCAATAAACTAGAGGTTATTAGAAAGTATGTGTAATACTTGGGCATATGTGTACTAAAAACATTCTTTGTTGTTTATCTGAAATTCAAGTTGAACTGGACAGCCTCTGTTTTATTTGGCGCCCTACTGCATGTATGTTGCGTTGGGTGCGGGGGCGGGGGGTTCTCTGGAGGTCCAGGGTGGGGGACTGCAAGCTGGGTCCCGGGCCCCGGTTCTGCCCCAGCCCTGTTTCGTGTCCTGGCCCGTGAGCTCAGAAGACATCTTATATCTTTAAAGGGCTGCGAAAAAAGAAGGAAGAGGAGGAGAAGAAGAAAAAGAATGTCAGAGATTGTTTGCCTGGGCTTGCAAAACCTAAATATTTGCATTTACTATCTTGGCCCTTTACAGAAAAGTTTGCTGGTCTGGCGGTGGTTAGGGGTCTATGGGTTTTCTGAGACTTGTGTACCTACTCTGGGGCAGGTGAGAGACTAAGCTGGAAGAGTCGAGAAAAGCTAAGCCCCCAGCAGGGAAGGCTCCTGGAGGATGGGGGACTGCTGAGGGAAAAGCCCTGTGAGAGGGGAGGGCTCACTCACTCGCTCACTTGAGGGGCCCCCAACCCCCAAAGGATCACCTGACCCCTCCCTCCTCCGTCACTGCCTTGAGGCTCTCAGGCTAGCCTGACCCTTCGGGCCCTTCTATAAAAGGTCAGCAGGTGTCCCAAAGTCCAAGGGAGGTCTCTCTAGTCTCTTTGACGGCCTTCCCTGCCCGGACTGGCCCGAGGGCAGGGAGAGAGACCAGGGTGAAGGAGTTTACGCAAGGCCCCAGGTGGCAGACCGGTCTGCTGGCCTGTCTCTTTAAATCTCAGGTAATTTGGAAGGAGGGAGGGAGTTCGTCTGCACAGATCCCAGCAGCTCCTGCCAGAGGAGCCCAATGAGGGAGTCTCAGCTCTGCCAAGTGTAACCACCTCGGAGCCTTCTGCAGTCCGGCTGGGGCGGCTTCCAAGACTCCTGTGGGGGCCCGGGAGGTCGGAGATGGGGCCTCTCCAGGCAGAGGGCAGGCTGGCCCTAGGGGAGACCGATGCGGCCCCAAGGCTGAGTCCAGTTGGGGTCTGGTCTCCCCCTCAGCCCCACAAGGAGCCGGCCCTACGCGACATGGGGCTGCCACTGCCCAAGAAGACGGGGCCCATTCTCTGCCTGTGGAGAAAGTTCTGCAGATGGTTCCAGAGACAGGAGTCCTGGGCCCAGAGCCGAGACGAGCAGAACCTGCTGCAGCAGAAGAGGTAAGTCTCCACCTGCTGCCGCCAGCCGCCCCCTCCCCAGGTGTGTCCCTCCCCCCTCCTCCCCCCCTGCCTCCCCCCTTCCCCCTTTTCCCTGTCTTTATTCGGCTCCTCTGTCTGGACAGATCGTGCTCCAGGCCTGGCTCTTGGGAGCATTTTGTCTCAAGAGTCTTGGCCTGAGGGTCCCCAGGGCTCCAGGAGGAGGGCTGGTGCGGACACAGGTTCTCACCGTCTTTAAGATGCAGCTTCTTGAGGGTGCAGTTGACCCTTGGACAATGTGGGGGTTAGGGCTGCCGAGGGTGTGCACTCAAAAAACACCCATGAATAACTGATGTCGGCCCTCCACGTACGAGGTTTCTCAGCCGCCAGTTGACCCTTGAACAAGGTGGGTTTCAGCGGCGAGAATCCAACGAATAGTACTTGTCAACTGAAGGGAGCGGGTCCATTGAAAAAAGTCACTTACAGGAGGGTCCAATATTTCAAACTCATGTTGTGCAAGGGTTGACTGTATTTTCCTAGTGGTCGGACAGCTTGCTGGGCCTTGGAAGGATTGTGGCGGCATTGAACCGCCACCAGACGGGTGGGTCACAGCTATGACTTTTATCTTAAGTCCCTGCCCCTCGGACCTCTCTGGCAGAATCATGCAGCACCCCCCCCGGCCCCCCCACCAGGAATGTGGGAATGAATGAATGCAGGCATGAATGACGCAGGGAGGATCTTCGGATAACCCAAAAAGAAGACCAAATGGGATCATGTGGTCATAGTTATCATTCCCGTGCGCTAATTGCCTCAGCTGTTGATGGGAGGGTATGGAGAGGAACAGACCCGGGACCCAGCCTGTAATTCATTGCTCCCTGCCGTGGCGGCAGACGGGTGCGCAAACCTGGCCAGAGCGTATACTTAGGACCAGTGCTCACCCGCTCTCTCACCCGGGTTGGGGAACCGGAGAGGCTCCAGAGTCTGAGCTCTAAAGAAATCACACTCAGTGCATCTGATGCTCCCCCACCCCCACCCCATCCCTGGCAGCTTAGAGCTGGGAGCCGGCTGAAGGGGACATGGCGGGGGCTTGAGCCACCCTTGTACGATGTGGTCGCCTTCCCAAGTCTCTGCGGATCGCCCCACCCAGGCGATGGCACGCCTGAAGGAAGTCCTCCAGTTGGGGTTCCCCCTCTGGGCCCCTAAGAAGGCAGGTGATATGTCTATTCAGACAGGAAAGCTTAAACTTTTTTTTTTTTTTTTTGTCTGAGGATCTTTCTCCACCTGCCCATGGCGGGGCCTGCCTGAGCCCGACCAGGAGGGGGGAGGCTCGGAGGCCAGCCGGGGGCGCTGTGGTTTTCCCACTTGCGCTCCAGGATCCTGGGCTGGCATGAGCCCCGGCGGTTCCAGTCTGGGCCTCCCGTCTCGCACGCCCACCGCCCACCTCTGTCCCCCAGGCCTGGGGGAGTGGGGGCTGAGCGCATGTTTGGCCGGTGACGTCTGGCGGCCGCAGAATGGTGGTGTTGTTGCAGACGCAGCCACCATGGGTCCCACTCGTCCCTGTCCCACTCCCAGGACCCCGGGGCTGGGGCAGCAGGCGCAGAGCGCAGGAAGGCCCGGGGGTTTTGGAAGGGGTGAAGGAAGTTCCCCGTGTGCCCGAGCGAGGTGGGGACAGAGTGAAGGACCATGGCCTGGCTGTGCGTGGGTGGCTTCCACCTGCCTCTCCTGCCTCCTTTCTTCTGAAGACCATCTGGCGAGCCGCCTCCTGCTGTGCCTTCGGCTACAGAGGCTGGATGTTACCACTTGGAGGGACCCCCCCCTCCAGTGACCGATCTCCCTGCCTGATTCCCCAGCTCCTCAGCCCTCTTATTCCCACATACCAGGAGTCAGGAGTACTGACTGTCTGTCCCCTGGGTGGACCCCGAAGTAAGCAGGAAGGGGAGAGGTCTAGGCCATGCAGTCACCAGGCACTTAGAAAAAATGAGATAGCCATGGACACAGGGACAATATAGCTAGGTCAGGGGATGCGCTGAGGAAAGAAAGCAGCCAACGATGCTACCAGCACCCGTCTTATCTCAGAAGCCCCAGTCTGACAGTGGGAGGGAGGGACTTTACCCCCTGGGAAAGGGGCAGGCCCAGGGGGAGCAAGTAGGGGTGGGGAGGGCATAGGGATTTGTGCCAAGGGCTCAGAGTGGGATTCGGGGGCACCCCAGGGGGAGGAGCATGGTCCAGGGAGAAGGGGGGACTTTCTGGTCTCCCTGGGCTGAAGCCAGGGCTTCTCTCACGTGGAGACTTTTCTTGGGTCTCAGTCACGAAACCCGCTCTGGGTAAACGCCCGGCATTGTCATCCAGGCTGAACTCTCCCCTTGCTCTCGTCGCAACCCTCCCCCGGCCCTGAGCTGTCTTCTTTCCTGACCGCCAGCGTGCTAAACGTGTACCGAGCAGGAAGTGCTCTGCTGGGTCTGCAGGAGCAAGAACAGGGCGCCTTCCCTGCTCGCCGGGAGCTCAGGCTCTTGTGGGCGAATGTGCCTCCACCTGGTGATGCCTGGTGAGCGCCCGAAGGAGGCGGTGAACAGTGTCACGGTAGCACAGAGGAGGGTGCCGGGGTGTCTGATTTCGGCCAGCGTGGGCTGTGCTGGGCAGCTTCCGGAGCGGGCCCCTTGCTGTCACCATCCACCTTCCTGCTCCCCACAGTCTGCAGGAAGGCAAGGAGCATGTGGGTTCTCCTCTGCTGAGACAGACAGACAGGCAGACCCCCGTAACTCTAGGTGAGCGGACGTGTCTGTGGAAAGCCAGCCCCGGGACACTCCGGCGTTATCAGGACTCCCTGCCTCAGTAACTACATGCACATGCGTCTTTGCAGGCACACGGGTCTACCTACACTCATGACGGGGTTGCAGCCCGACTCCAAGTCTGCAAATAGCCACTTTCCTGGAAGCTTTGAACCTCAACCCACTGCCAAGAACTTGACCTGGAGGGAGGTGGCCCGCAAGTGGTCCGTGTGTGCCTCCTCCTCCCCAGACGTGACTGTGGTTTCCTTCATCTGTGGTCACTGCTCTGGGCTGGCCCTCTCCCTCTGGGAAGAGTCATAAAACTTGAAGAACCACATAATTTAGTGGTGAGCGCCTAAGGCTAGGTTCTTAGGGAAACATTCTGCTCTTAACTCTCTGTGTGATCCTCCTCCAGGGAGGACTGGGCTGTTCGGCCTCGGTTTCCTTTCCTGAAAAATGAGAGTGTTGTCCGGCTTCCGTGGCAGGACTGGGAGGAGCAAAAGGGGCAATGAGTGAGGTGCTGCTGTGGAAGCTGGAAAAGCACAGGTGCCCCACGGGGTTACTGGGATGAACAAACCTCACCACCTATGCAGGCACCTCCCGTGATGGCAGGAGCTGAGAGGGCTTGTGAACTTCCTCCTGTCAGGGCCATATGCATTCTGGGAATGTACTCTGAGCCACCGTGTTGTCTGTGCCCTCCCCTTCCCAAAGGACTCCCCCACCTCTCCCTCCCCCACAGACACACACAGGATGCTCATGGCTCAACCAGGGGAACCCACACAGGCCCGTAGAGCCCCTTGTGCATCTTCCAAACCCGTTTCAAACCCTGATGACACCGAGAATGAGGACAGAGTCATGACAACTGGGGCACTCGTCCCAGCTCTGCCTCTGGCGTGTTAGGACAAGTCGCCTCAGACTCCAGGCCTGAGCAGGATCCATCTGTTGCACGAACAGATTAGACTAGTTTCCTAGGGACTTCCCTGCTCTAAAATTCCGACTTGACGTCTCCTGCAGATATTCCCGGCCCTGCCTTGTTTCCCAGCGACGGTAAACAGAACTCGTGCACCCTGCACACACACGTGTGCACACCCACCGGCACGTACACATCCTCAGGAACGGGGGGGGCGGGGCACGGGGTGGCAGGAACTCGGAAGGGGGAAGTGAGAGGTCCTCCCTTGGTGGCCACGGGGAGGCCCGAGGGGAGGGAGCGCCACGGTTTGTTTACGGATGATGCGCTAGGTTTTCTGCCAGGAACCCCACAGCAAGACTCACACCGGTTTAATATGGAACTAGATTGTTCGATGTGATAAATAATTGTCCAGCAAAAGAAAACACTCCAAATCCTGCAAACACCTTTCATGTGCCAATGCCAGATGCCCTCTCTGAGGTCTCAGTGCTCCTTAATCAGTGGGTGTTTCAAAGGCTTCACCTTTTTTTGTTTAATGGTGTGTACGCAACCATGCACGTATAGGTCATTTCTCGTCCTTTGTAATGTGAAGTACCCTTTTTAAAAAATGGATTAGGAATAATTATACCTTCCCAGTTGGGGTTTCTCTCCCTTGGCACATGATGGGCAGGAAAACCCTTTGTTATGGGAAGCTGCCTGTGTAAGGTGCTTACAGCACCCTTCCCTCCGCCCACCGGAAGCTAGTAGCACCCCTCCCCCAGTTGTAACAACCAAAAATGTACCCCCAACATTGCCAGATTCCTTGGGGGAGGGGCTGGGGATTGGCCCTGTTTGAGAACCATTGCTCTTTGTAACTAGGGGGTTTGGGTAGCAATGCAAATTATTCTGCTAAATAAAGTGAAGCTTTCCCCTGGGAAGGGGAGTATAATCTAACCATTCAAATGGGAAGCTGCTTCTTTAGTGTATTTCTGCTTCCTGCCCTCAGGAGGCATCTGGCAGCCTTCTGGGGAAGGTGTACAGAGTTTGCTCCAGATCTAAACTTCTGCGCTGGGTCGCCATCAAAGAAACTATAGGTGCCTCAGGCCTGTGAATCTTTGGGTGGGTCTGCTCTTGCACCATTTTGTAGGAGGCCCAAGGACTGTTGGGTATTTTGGGGGATCCCCCTTACTGCCAAGCATGTGAACCAGGGCTTTCTCTACTGTCCCCTTGTGGCCCTGTGGTGCTATTACAAGTAGTGGCTCTGCCTGGTCCCCTCAGAGCCTTTTGCATACTGCTGGCCCCCCCCACCACCCCTGACCCCCTTTTGACTGGATTCTGGAATTTGCCAACCAGAGGAGGCCAGTCCTCTACAAACCCTGCTGAGCTGGGTTCTAAGCGGGGTCTTTAACCAGAGTGTGGTCTGACTGCGCTTGCCAGATAAAATGGAGGACGTGGAGTTAAACGTGAAGTTTAGATAAACAACACATTATTAGTATGCGATGAGGGACCACCCCCCAAAAGGAATTATATTCTGGAGGGCGGGCCCCTTGTAATACAGGCTTCCCCCACTAGGTGAGTGTTCTAGGGACCCATCTGTGTCAGTGTGCCAGCTGGTGTTGTTGTGAGAGGCTGCATTAGGCTTCAGTGAATTTTTTTTGGAGGCTCTTTCAACACACTTGCCTATTTCATGATGGGTGATTTGTGAGCGCACCTGCCCCCACTGGGCCGAGTGTTCAGCAGCTTCTTACCAAAACAGCCTGACCCCCGTGCCCCACCCTCCCCATTCACCAGATCCCACCCCGAGCAACTTTTCCATTTCCCCAGTATGAGAAAGGTGAAACAAGAAACAGCAGAAGCACTAAAAGGCATCAAAATCAACGAGTTCAAAAAGCACTCTGAGCAGTGGGAGAAAAGTTTTGATAGGTGCATTGCATGAAATGGAGAGTACTTGAAGGTGACTGACTTTAAACACGCGAGAATAAATGCACAATGCTTTATAAATAAATTCCGTCCTTTGGGGGCCCCCTCCCTTGTACGTGTGTCACAGATACCACATGGGACAGACTTACACTAAACCATTATTTGTTGTGTATCTCAAATTCAAACTGAACGGAGCATCCCATGTTTTTATTGGGCGGACCTGGCGAGCCTGCGTCAGACAGCAGCACCTTGACCTTCCCGCCCGGTAGGGCTGTCCGCAGAGGGAAGGAAATGAACATGTAGAGAATGCCCGCAGGGGACGTTCACTGACCCCGGAGAGGTGGAGGGACCCAAAGGGAGACATATCTTCGGGCCTGCCCCAGACTGGCCTGCCCCCTCGCACATACCCTAGAAGGCAGGAGCTACAGCAAAGCTGGAGCTTGGGTAGTGAGAGCCCTGGGGCCCATCCCTAGCTTTGCCATTCGCCTTTCACGCGTTTCGTCAAAGCCAGGCGCAAAGCTAGAAGGTAATTGGAGGAGGGCAGGGCGAGAATACAGAGGAGAGGCAGTGGCTGATCGCTGCCTTCAAGTCCGCGGTGCAGAGCAAGAGATGGACGTGAATCACAACGCGCATGCTCAGTGGTGGGAAGGCCAGAGCCGAGCGCCGACATCCCCGGGGAGGCCGTGCGGTCCTGCGTGTGCGTGTGCGTAGTGCCGACTCCAGAACATCCACTGAGGACGGGTTTGGCCCAGTTGTTGGGAAGGTGGTGGTGGTGGCGGCGGTGGCAGTGGTGCAGGGGTGCACAGAAAACTTGTTTTGCAGCTGTTTGCATACCAAGCATACTATTTTTTTTTTACTTAGAGTATATGTTTGCTTCAGGTTGGCTTCAGGGTGGCCAATAAAGATAATAAGGAGAGACAGTAAGACTAAACCTCATCTTGGCACCGTTCCTTACTCATTCTACAGAGAGAGGGACTGGCTCCCTCACGCCGGGCGCATATCCTAGGAATGCAGAAGAGACGATTATGGGGGTGGGGGGGTACATTTCAGGTGTGAGGAGCGGTAGGGCAGTGGTACAGGATGGGGTGCTCCGGGGCGGTGCGGCCAACAGGCTGTGTGGGAGAGTGAGGGTGAAGAAGAGCATGGAAAAGTGTTGCCCCAAGGCTGGAAAGGACCCCTGGGTTCCTTCTCCTCGGATACTTAATGACCCACGGTAGGGGTGGTTTGGAAGCTGTGATTACATTTGCCATTCAAAGAGGGTATATTGGTGGCATCCAGAAGGATGGCCTAGGGGCACACAGGGTGTGGGGGGACTAGTTAGGAGAGAGGGAGACTAGTTAGGAGAGGCTTTTGCGAATCTGGGGCTGGAGAATGAGGACGTGAATCAAGGAGGAGGTGGGGACTGACGGGGGAGAGAATGAGTTGAAGAAGAATCTCAGGGCTGGGGCTGCCCGTGTGGTGTGAGGAGGGCTGTAGCCAGCGTTGTGGGGGATGGGTCTTGAGCTCTCCCTCCCCTCCCAATCCCCCACCCCCACCCCCAGTGAAGGAGGGGGTTCCTGCCACTACCAGTCCTTAGCCTGTGAGTGCCTGTCTGGATCTCTTTGTCGGTCACATAACTGGCCGTCTCTGGATGCACAGGGTTATTTCATTCACTCCCATAGAAGGATCCCATGGCTCTGGGGCGAAAGAGAAAATTGAGTGAAAGGGGTCCCCTGGGTCTTGGTTGAAGTAAGGCTTGATCTTTAAAGAAGTTTTAGAGTTCGCTGTAGGAATAAAACTTGAGAGGGTTTGGGGAGTCTGAAGAGAAGATGATTTGTGCTTGGAACAAGTGAGAAACATAGAGGAAGTAGGAAGAAACTGTTCCCTGACTCGGGGGCCAGGAAAACAAAAAGGATGGGCTATTCCTGTTGGATGAAGCCCTAGAGATGCCGGTAGAGGGAGGGAAGTGCCAGGGTCAAAGGGTTCTCCGAGAAGTCCGGGAGGAAGAGCACAGGGCCCCAGGAGAAAATCTGCTAAGCTCTCCCGGTTGACTTCCTCCACAAACAAGAGGGAGGGATGCCTGGTACTCCTTGTCCTAGAAAACAAGGCTTATCATGGAGGGTAATCTCAAGACACTCAGTGAACTTGAATCAGGGTTGCTGCAAAGTCAATAGGTCAGGAGGCCAGTGAGTGCGTAGGCAAAGCCCCTCCCCTCCATACGGGACAAGCACAGATACCTTCACACGCACTCTGGTGTCTGCACCCGCGAGTAGGAACCCGGTCGCTGAGATTTCTGTGAGCTAACTGCTCAGGAAGAAAGAGACCAGGCGACACTTTGCAGCTCAATGGCCTCACTTCCCTGTGCCAGGGATCTTGGGGACATTGTCACTGAGCTACGTGTTTGTATAGGATGAAGCAAAGCCATCCTCCCTTGCTCCACCACTGGGCACGCTCACGGTTGCTACCTGTCTGGCCCCATTCCCTTGTAGGATCTTGGGGTGTCCTCTCCTTCTAGCTGCCAAAGAGAATGACGTCCAGGCTCTCAACAAGCTGCTCAAGTATCAGCCCTGTGAGGTGCACCAAAGAGGTAAGGAAGGAGCAGAGCCCCGGGCACCGCTCTCCTGCTGGGTCGGCCCCAGGTGCCATGGGCACCGACGTCACTGTCATCCCCGATTCCCTGCGCACAGAAGCCCCACACCTCCTCTTTCCGCCCAGGAGCCCTGGGGGAGACGGCGCTGCACATAGCGGCCCTCTACGACAACCTGGAGGCGGCCACGCTGCTGATGGAGGCTGCCCCGGACCTGGTCTCTGAGCCCATGACCTCTGAGCTCTACGAGGGTGAGGAGACAGGGGCCAGGGTGGAGGGAAGGGGAGGCCCGTTGGATATGTCTAGACAAGCACTGGTGGATAATTTGCGGAAACCAAAGAGGGAATCTGAGCACCGCCGCTCTCTGTCCCCTCTTCCCCTGTCCTCCTCACCGCCCCTCATTAGGGCACAACCCACTGCAATGGAGAGGCCCAGAGAGTGGGAAGAAGTGGGTGGCCCCCAGATTCCGTAGGGACCCTGCCTGGCTCAGGGCCCCCAGTCCCCACCCCTCCAGGCTGCCCGGGTGTAGGATCCTGTATGGATACGGCCCCCCACCCCCTGTGTAATGCTGGACACAGACCCCACGACCGAGGGCTCTCTCTGAACCAGGCCAGACTGCGCTGCACGTGGCCATCCTGAACCAGAACGTGAACTTGGTGCGAGCCCTGCTCGCCCACGGGACCAGCATCTCTGCCAGAGCTACGGGCTCAGCTTTCCGCCACAGCCCCCACAACCACGTCTACTTTGGTGAGAGCCGGGGCGGGCCCGGGGGGAGGGAGGTGAGTGGTGGGCAAGAGAGGGGGGCCCTGTGCCCCGTGCCTGGGAGGCTGGGGGCAGGGTCCGCCCTGAGAGGGCCTGAGGCCAGAGCCACTCCCGCACCCGCCCTGCCTCTGGTTCTGCTGACGGGTGTCCCCAAGCCCAGCACCGAGAGGAACTGGGGAGGAGCTGGGGAGGAACAGGCAGTCCCTGGGAGGATTCACGCCCCAGCCCGCACTCACGCTCCAGAGCCCTCCGTGTCCCCAGGGGAGCACCCTCTGTCCTTCGCTGCCTGCGTGGGCAACGAGGAGATCGTGCGTCTGCTCATCGAACACGGAGCGAACATCCGGGCCCAGGACTCCCTGGGTAAGCGCTGGGAGCAGGAAGCGAGGGGCGCGGAGGGGGCTGGGACAGTGGGTCCAGTGGCCACGTGACACCCGTGTCCTCCCCCAGGAAACACAGTGTTGCACATCCTCGTCTTCCAGCCCAACAAGACCTCTGCCTGCCAGATGTACAACCTGCTGCTGTCCTACGACGGGCGCGGAGGCCGCCTGCAGCCCCTGGACCTCGTGCCCAACCACCAGGGCCTCACCCCCTTCAAGCTGGCGGGCGTGGAGGGCAACACTGTGGTGAGGGGCACACCCTCCACCCCACGGTGTTGTCCCAGTGACCCCCGCCCCATACTTTTAGTCTTTGGGGAGAGCAGATGTAAGCACGCATCCCTGATGCCTAGGTCCCATTTTCAGGTTGCAGTGTTTCTTTCAGGCCCCGTCTCCCTTGTCCGCTGGTCCCTTTCTCGCCCACTTTCTCTTCCCTGGGGTGCTGGGGGCCAACAGAGTCTAGCTCTCACCCTGGAGCTGTGACGCCCACATCCGCCTTCCAGGCCACAGGGCTGCAGCCTTCCCGACTCTCTCCTCTTCCCAAGGTTTAGGGAGAGCTGTGGGGGGTCAGAGGGCAACCTAGGGGGTCAGCATGAGCATGGGTTCTTCTGCCCCAGCGGTGGTGGGTGGCCGTCGATGAAGAGCAGCCGCCACCTCCAGTAGTGCTGTCCTCCTGGGCCTGCTCCCTGCTCCCACCCTGTGGCCCTCCCCTTGGCTTGCCCCTCATGCCCCTGTTGTCCCCTCCACCTCAGATGTTCCACCACCTGATGCAGAAGTGGAGGCACAGCCAGGGGACGTTTGGGTTGACGACCTACACCCTCTACGACCTCACGGAGATCGATTCCTCCGGAGATGAGCCGTCGCTGCTGGAACTCATCGTCACCACCAAGAAGCGGGAGGTACGGGGGGGTGTTCAGGTGGGAGAGCAGCGGGGGAGGGGCGTCAGGGTCTCTGAGCCACTTGCTGCTCTGCCGTCTTCCTGCCACAGGCTCGCCAGATCCTGGACCAGACGCCGGTGAAGGAGCTGGTGAGCCTCAAGTGGAAGCGCTACGGGCGGCCCTACTTCTGCCTGCTGGGCGCCTTGTACGTCCTCTACATCATCTGCTTCACCATGTGCTGCGTCTACCGCCCCCTGAAGCCCAGGACCGACAACCGCACCCAGCCCCGGGACAACACCCTCCTGCAGCAGAAACTCCTTCAGGTGGCGCCTGGGAGCCTCAGGGCCCGGGGTGGGGTCAGCGGTCTGCCCTTTCTCAGACTTGAACCCTGTTCCTGTCCAACAGCCCTCATGTCTCCCCTCACCCGGGTCCCAAACACATAGGCACAGCCCCCAAATGCTCACACACACAGACACACGTGTGCACTCGAAGAGCAGGGTTTGAGAGAGCCGAACCACCAGGTTAAAAAGACTCGAACAAGGGATGCTGACCCCTGACCAGGGGCCAAGCAGGGCAGATGCATGAGACCCTGCGTGCCCTGACCACACTCCCCCCCTCAGGAGGCCTACGTGACCCGCCAGGACGCCATCCGACTGGTGGGGGAACTGGTGACGGTCGTCGGAGCTGTGATCATCCTGATCGTAGAGGTGCGGCGTGGACTGGGCCCCGGGCGTGGCCGCCTGCCCGGGGGATCCAGCCCAAGGCCCCGGCCTAGAGCTGCCTTTGTGTCCGCAGATTCCAGACATCTTCAGGGTGGGGTTCATGCGCTTCTTCGGACACACCATCCTCGGGGGGCCGTTCCATGTCCTCATGTGAGTCTCCTTCCTCGTGGGAATCCCATCCCTTCCCCCCTGGATTCCCGGACTCCTGGCCCCTGGGGAGTCCCTGGAGGACCTGCCCCCTCAAGCCGTGTGTGTGACCGTGAGCACGGAGCTCGCAGAGACGGAATCTGAGCGTGTTCATACTGCCTCAGCCACACTCTTGCCCTGGGGTCCTCAGGATAACCCCAGGCCCCTCACATCACTCCCTGCCCTCTGCTCTCCCCCCAGCATCACCTACGCGTGCACGGTGCTGGTCACCATGGTGATGAGGCTCACCAACACCAGCGGGGAGGTGGTGCCCATGTCCTTCGCCCTGGTGCTGGGCTGGTGCAACGTCATGTACTTCGCCCGAGGGTTCCAGATGCTGGGCCCCTTCACCATCATGATCCAGAAGGTCTGTGTCCCCCCCCGCCCCAGGCTTCCTAGAGAAAGGGACTGCAAACATCCCGTCAAAAGCCACCTAATAGACGACGTCCCGGGCTTTGTGGCCCACATACAGTCTCTGCTGCATACTCTTGTCCTCCTCTTCTTTTTTCCCCAAGTCTTTAAAAATGTAAAAACTATTCTTAGTTCAAGGGTCATACCGAAATAGACCAAACAGCCCTGGCCTGCAGCCAGTTGGCCAGCCCTGACCTGGAGACCTGGAGGGCGGAGCCACGAGGGTTCCCAGGTCCGCTGGAGGCTGGGAGGGGCAGCGGCTGGAGCGACGGGTCTGACCTTCTCCCTCCCCGCTCTAGATGATCTTTGGTGACCTGATGCGATTCTGCTGGCTGATGGCCGTGGTCATCCTGGGCTTTACCTCAGGTAAACCACCTGGTCGGGATGGGGGCCATGGGAGGGAAAGGCTGGAGGAGCCTAGGCAGCACAGAAGGGCTCGGATAGACTTGGGGAAAGGTGGGAGGAGGCGGAGGTGACAGACGAGGGGGGGGGAGGGGGAGGGGTGATAGGGAGAGGTGGCTCCTGGGAGCAGAAGGGTGAGCCATGTGGAAAATAAGGCAACCCGAGAGCCTAAAGCACAGCGCGATGAAGGGCTGGGTTGGTGCCGGGGAGATGCGGCAGGTGGGCAGCAAAGAGCTGGCTGTGGTTCGGTCACGTCCGCGGCCGCCCTCACCACGGTCACTCTCACCCCCTTGGGTGGAGCAGCCTTCTATATCATCTTCCAGACAGAGAACCCCGACGAGCTGGGGCACTTCTACAACTACCCCATGGCGCTGTTCAGCACCTTTGAGATGTTCCTCACCATCATCGACGGCCCCGCCAACTACGACGTGGACCTGCCCTTCATGTACAGCATCACCTACGCTGCCTTCGCCATCATCGCCACCCTGCTCATGCTCAACCTCCTCATCGCCATGATGGGCGACACTCACTGGCGGGTGGCTCACGAGCGGGATGAGCTCTGGCGGGCTCAGGTGAGCCCCCTGGTGGCTGGGTGGGCTAGTGCAAGTCCTTTCCTTCGTGCCAAACTCAGAAGCAGGGTTATTTTGACTTCACACGATTGGACCATTATTGCACAGTGCACAGGATGATACAGAGTGTACAGTAGAGCTGGATTAGCAATACCACTGAGCAATGCTGGAACAGCTGAAAAGAATTCCTCACGGTTTGCTCAAAAATCAAAACCTGTCTTTTCTCGAGTAATCAACACGAATTAAATCAAGAATAAAGGTGATGGCATTTCATAAACATTGCAACCGAATACAAACTGGAGTATTCCCATCTTCTTGGCAATATTTCAGTCTTCAAGATTTGACCCAGAAAAGTCAGACACGTTAAAAATAACGCCACAAAAACTCCCCTGTAGTAGCAGAAACGTCCTCCAGTCAGAGCGTCACGGTGGGGACAAGAGACCATTAAAAAAAAAATCAAATCATCACTTAAAAATACACGTAGAAAATAATTTATCTCAACGAAAATAATTCCTGCAAAATAAAAATGGAAATCCTGAAAATTGGATGGCATTTAACTGTGCTGTGTAGAAAATGGAGCTAAAAAAAAAAACCAACCAAAAAAACAAAACAAAACACCACCAAAAAACCCTCCTAAACTGGTTAAATGAGATTTACTCAGAAAAATACCTTTGCCAGGCAAATGTACCGATGTTAGATGTCTCAGTAGGAAGCTTGCATTGACACATAGCCTGTGTGTCTATAGGGCCGAAACATCCTGTAGCCCCGAGGGCCTCTCTCTATTTGCTTTCCTCACCTTCCCCTTGTCCTGGGATTCGGGTCCCTCAGCCTCTGCAGGACCAGCCTGGCATCTGCATGGGTGTCAGGTCACTGGGCCCAGGACGGAGGGGCTCACGTCCCACTGACTCCCCTACAGAAGAGGGCTGACGGAGCCGACACCATCCTCCTCAGCTCAGGGGTGCTGTTTGTCCCCTCTGGGAAACCACAGAGTCCCTGACTTTCCATGCTGCTGCTTCACTGTCCTCCCACTGGCCGGCACCCACCCATCTATCTCCCTCCACTTCAGCTCCGTCCCCACCCAGCCTCGCTGACTTCCCCTCCTGCCCTCACACGCAGGTTGTGGCCACCACGGTGATGCTGGAGCGGAAGTTGCCTCGCTGCCTGTGGCCTCGCTCTGGGATCTTTGGGGGAGATTACGGCCTGGGGGACCGCTGGTTCCTGCGGTGAGTGACAGTGAGGGGCTGGGCATTCCTGTGACCTCAGGGGTGGGCCCTGCGCCCTCCCTAGTCCCGACGGCCTGGCTGCTGAGGGGCCGGTCCCCTCTGCCATGCCAGCATTGGCGTGCACAGGAGACAAGCAGCTCCAGCCCTTTGCCTGTGGGCACCTCTCAAGTCCTCTGTCCTCCTCAGGGTGGAAGACAGGCAGGACCAGCAGCGAGTCCGGCGCTACGCACGGGCCTTCTACAACCGGGGCTCCTACGACTTGGATAAGGACTCAGAAAAACTGCAGCCGAGCCGCCCCTCTGGCCCCAACCTGCCCCTGCCCACCCCCTCGGTGTCTCGAAGCACCTCCCGGAGCAGCACCAACTGGGAGAAACTTCGGCAAGGGGCCCTGAAGACAGAACTGAGGGGCGTGGTTAACAGGGGTCTGGAAGAGGAGAGCTGGGAGTACCAGATCTGAGCGTGTGTGTTCCCAGCAGTCGCGCTCATGTTCCTGGGAACATTCCAAAACCCAAACCCAAAATATCGAGCAGTCTAACCCCCCCAGGTCAAGGGGGAAAGGAGTAGCATAGTTGGGAACAGCTGTGCCCAGCTGGGTCTCTGCTTTTCGCTCAGCTCTGGAGCCAACGGCAGGCCACGAGGTGGCTGGCCCCGCCTCTTTGGCTTCAATGGAGTCCGCTGCACTGTCAGAGCAAAGCACTTTAAAGACAGGCTTGCCACCTCTGCGCCCCGTCTCCACCCAGGAGTCCAAGTGGGAGGGGCGAGCCCTGCCCGGTGTTCCAGGGAGTTCTGGGGAGGCTGGTGGAGCGAGGGCGTGAGTAAGGGGACCAACACCACCCTGGGGTGGGGTGATGCTGGCTGAGTCTTGTCACCTTCTACCTTCCAATAAATGGTTCCCTACTCTGCTCCCCTGTTGTGTGGTGTCACCTTCCCAGCACTCCTTGCACACTGAGGCCTCACCACACCTCCAGCTTGCAAATTCCCTTCTTTCCCTTTAATGTGGGGAGGGAAGGTGGGCAGGGGCAGAGGACAGGAGAAGGGAGCATCCAGAGGGTTGGGCTGAGTGTTCTGGGAGTGAGAGGACAACATGGGGACCGGCTCATGTCTCCCACGTCCCTCCTTGGACCTGTGTCCTGGCTGCGTCCTAAGCAGGGTCAGCCACAGCTTCCTGCCAAGGCCTCACACCTCCACTGCGCCTGGCTGCCTCAGGTGGTGCTGCAGGAGCCGGACGTGGTGCAGCAGTTTCTTCTGGTGGCCAGCCAGGGTGACGCCCAGGGCAGGCAGGTCTCTGGTGGGGAAGGAGTGGATCAAATCCAGGCCAGCTTCTCCAAGATCCCAGGGCAGGACCCGGGCCTCCGGCCCAGAGGCTCCCCCGCCCACCTCTCCCTGCTTACTCCAGGCTGAGCTGAGCCACATCAGTGAAGGTGCAGAGGCCACACCTGGAGAAGCTGTCCTGGTAGCACTCCAGTCCAATGGCCGAAAGCCAAGCCTGAGGTGAGTCCAGAGAAGGAAAGTCCAGGGCCACAGGGTTCAGAAGGGCCTGGGACGGTCTAAGGGGGGAGGGGCAGGCGGGTCAAAGTCTCCTCTTCAGGCTAGTCCCCGCTCCTCAGTTTTCTTTTTGGTTTGCATTGACCCCCCCACCCCGCCCCCTGCTGACTTTCCCAGACTCCAGCCCCAAGCCCCAGACCTGTCCCCAGGGCTCCCGCCAGCCTGCAGAGTCTCTGGCTTGCGAATCATCTTGTCAAACGCAGCCACCAGCTGGTCAAAGTGGGGACGCTGGGTACGGTCTTTCTGCCAAGTGTCCAGCATAAGCAGATGTAGTCCAGGAGGACAGCCTGGAGGTGGGGGCAGCCGGAACTCCTGCTCTATTGCATTTAGTACCTGGGGATCAGAGGAAGAATGTGGCGAGGGGAAGCTATTGCAAGTGGAAAGGAGGACATTGTGAAGTAAGGGTGTGGGCTGTGGAGGATGGGTCGCAGTGTCGAAGGAACTTAAAAACACAGAAGACAAGAGCCGTGAGATCTCGGAGGGATAGGAAAATGGAGGTCTCAGAATGTGCAAGCTGGGGAAGCTGGTGGGTTGAAAGGATTGGGGTGTGAGGTGGGGAAGTGGCAATGTCCAGGCTGAGAGCTCACCTCCTGGTCACTCATGTCCCAGTAGGGCCGTTCTCCATAGCTCATCACCTCCCACATCACTATTCCAAAGCTCCAGACGTCACTGGACGTCGTATGTTTTCCATGTGCAATGACCTCTGGGGCTGCCCAGCGAAGCATCCGACTTGGGCCCTGAGGGGTAGGGTCAAAAGTACCAACAGCGATCATCACAGCCTCGGTCACCTTTACGGAGCAACTACTCTGCTCAGACATGAGTCAAAGGTGTCACATCAAGCATCTCCCTTCATCCTCGTAAGAACCCTATGAGGTAGACAACATTGTCTTCCTTTTGCAGAGGCCCAGGCACTGAGCAAAGGGAACTGGGGGAAGTCACAGAGCTTAGGGCAGGGTGCTCAGGATCTGTGCCCAGCTGCTCTGACTCACAGGGGTGTCCAGCCTTTTGGCGTCTCTGTGCCACACTGGGAGAGGAAGAGTTGTCTTGGGCTACACACTACATACACTGCAATGCGTAATCGCAAAAAAATCTCACAATGTTGTAAATGAATTTATGATTTTGTGTCGGGCCGAGTTCATAGCCATCCTGGGCCGTGTGTAGCCCGAGGGCCACGGGTTGGACACCCTTGGTAGAGTCTGTGACCTTTGGGGGAAAGGCAGGAGGTGGTCCCAAGTTTCTGGGGTCTCCCCCTTCCCCAGTGACCTCGGTTCCTGAAACTCTTCAATGCCTCCCTTGCCCAGGCTTCTCTCCTGGAGGGAGCACAGGTGAACCCCAGCTCTCCAAATGCAATGATATGCCGCCCGAGGTCCCCCCCACCCCCCCAGGTTCTGGCTCGTCCCAGCACCCCCGGCACCCGCCGCTGAAGAATGTAGAGCCCCCGAGGCTGTGCTCTCACCTGAGGGCTGTGGCCAAGACGGGCCACTTTGCACACCAGGTGGCTATTCACCAGCACGCTGTGGGCCGACAGCGCTCGGTGGACGAAGGCGAAACTGGACAGGTACTGCATGGCGGCGGCCACTCCCCGCTGCATAGCCACCAGCTGCAGGCTGCTGAACTGGCCCTCCCGCTGCTGAGGGGCAGGGGGCAGAGGTCAGCTCCTGGGTGGGAAACCCGGAAGCACACGCATGTCGAGGTTCCCCGCCCACATGCACAGGAGACGCCAATCAGCATGGGAGGGCAGGGGATTTGGAAATCAGCAAATGGCCTGGGAGGGGAGGCTGAGGACTGCTGGAGGTGGGGGCAGCAGGGAGCAAAAGCTTAGGGCTCTGGCTCTGGAATCGTCTAGAGCGGCATGCCTTCCCAGGCCCACGGGCCCTCCACCTTCCCCCAGGCCCACTGACCCTGAGGAAGCTGTCCAGGGGGCCCAGCTCCATGAGCTCCGTCAGCACCATGAGGGGCCGGCTTTTGGTGACCACACCCTCCAGCCGCAGGATGTTGGGGTGCTGGAACTGGCCGAGCACCGCGGCCTGGCCGAGAAAGGTCATCTGCAGGCTCTCGGTGCCGCCGTTCCACAGGGCCTGGATGGCCACGGCCTGCTCCCGCCGGCCCCTGGGCTGCAGCCGGCCCCGGCGGACTTCTCCGAAGGAGCCTGGGGGATGGGGGGAGGTTGGGTGGTGTCTGGGCAAGGACGGTGGGCTCACGGTGTCCGGCCACGCTTCGAAGGAACCCTGCCAGGCCCTCCCTCCCCGCTGGTGCAGTACCTGCCCCAATGACCTCCTCGATCTTGATGTAGGCGGGATCCACCTCCCGGGCGAATTCTTGGACGGCCTGGCAGGGGTCCTCGTATGTGGATGGGTCGATGTAATACTTCACCCCCAGCCCTGTAGGTGTGTGGGGTGTGTTATGAGGGTGTGGTGCAAGGCAGGACCGCCCACACACTGCAGGCATGCCCCCTGACTCCTGAAGAACGAGCCAATGAGGTCTCCCCCCCACCCCCACCTCAGGGGAGCCTGGCCTTGCCTGGTGCATGCCTGGCCCGAGCCCCCAGCTCTTCATCTCTGCAGCTCCCCAATCTGACCCCCGACAACCGCTCACCTGGGCTGCTGTACTGCTGCAGTTGCTCCGTGTAGCCTGTCCCACGCCGCTTCCTGAGGGACAAACCAGGGTCATGGGATGACGTTTGACCCCGCTCCTCCCCCACCCACCCCCACTCATGCTGCCGGCTAGCTGGGGACCAGGTTCCTCCTTCCCACCTCTGCATGGACAGGCCCCTGGTTGGGGCTGGGTATGGGGGTTTCCACACTGGGCTTTGGGCTTCCAGGACTTGGGGGTGTGAGGCGGAGTGAGTGGTGTGAGGACACGGCAAGGAGGGGCTCACCTCTGGAAGACCACGGCCAGCACGGTGATGGCCACCAGCAGGAGGAAGGCCAAAGCCCCCAGGATGGACCCGATCACCAGGGACAGTCTCTCCGGAAGCTGGGTGGACAGCTCACCTGGGGAACCAGCCACCCAGGATCACAGGTGGTCAAGGCCTCGCGTGGGCGCTCAGCAGCAAACCCCAGCATGCACCCTCCCCCCCCCCCCACCGCCACACACAGCCTCGGCTCTCTCCTCACAGCCTCTGGCCTGGAGGGCCCCAGGCCTCTCCGCACCACCCCTAGTGCCCCCCGCCCCCCATCTATCCAGGCTTCCTCTCACCTTGAGGCAGCGTCTGGAAATAGACCTTGCCCCCAAAGGGGCCGTGGCCCGCGGCAGTCCGCGCCCGGACCTGGAAGCCATAGATGTGGCCCGGGCTCAGCTGCGTCACAGTTGCCGTGTTGGTCTCACTGGTCAGGGTGAAGGAGTGGGATTCATCTTCTGCCTGGGGATGACAGCCACTCACTGCCTGTCGGGCTGTCCCAGCCCCTCACCCCTGCTTCTACCTCCAAGGCTTCGGCCCTTCCCACCTTGCGCAGGGCTCCTGGGCTCCCTCCCTCCTCCCATCCATGTCCCCCTATCTCTAGCCCCAGGAGGGGCACTGCAAGCTTCCCCCAGTCCTGTTGGGCTGCCCCGCCCCACCCCACCCCACCTGGTCGTAGTAGCGCAGCTGGTAGTCCAGGATGTTCCCGTTGGTCTGGTCTGGCTGCGGCCAGGACACAGTGATGCTGTCGGATGCGCGGCTCACCTGGTGCATCGCTGGGACTGCAGAGGGAACTGGGATGGGGGAGTCAGTACGGGGTTTCCGGGGGCCGGAAGGCGAAAGTAGGAGAGGGGTCCCAAGGAGGCGAGGTAAGGTGTAGAGTGGAGGAAAGGGCTCACCTGCGTGGCTGGTGCTGACATTAATGGCTGCCACCTGGGGAGGGTCGGGGCTGAGGTCGGACACCCCGTTGACGGCTTGCACCTCCAAGATGTAGGGCACGTGGGCCCGGAGCCCCCCGACTAACACCCGGCTCTCGGTCAGGCCCCTCTGGCGGGGGTCAAAGTGCACCTCATCCCCACAGCGGTGACAAGCACCCCGTTTGCCAGGCTCCTGGCGGTCTCCGCACTCCTTGCACACGACGTTGAAGAGCAGGTCCCCACGCCCGCCGAGCTCCTGGGGCAGGCGCCAGTGCAGCATGAGTGCGGAGCCTTGCACCTCGAACCAAAGCTCCCGGGGAGCTGACGGAGGGCCTGGGTGGGAGGATGAGGTAGGAAAGGGACGGGAAGGAAGGTGTGGTTCAGGGAGGGAGGAGACAAACAGCATGGGGTGGGGCCAGAAAGCAGAAGAGGCAGGTGGGAGGAGAGAGGCAGGAGACGGTCCAGGGGCCACGGGGTCAGGGAGAGAGGGGAGCAGGTAGGGGAGGAAACGAGGACACAGGAGAAAGAGAAGTCACAGCCAA